AAAAGTAAAAAGAAATAGGTGAAATTAATTTTAATAATGTTTTATTTATCTCAGTATATAAAAAAATTATCACTTCAATACACAGTGTAAATTATTATTAATGAACTACTTTATGGTCCTTTTCTTCATACCACGTCTTTGAAATCGTGTTTGTATTTTACACTTACAGCACGTCTCAGGTCAGACAACTCACTTTTAAGAACTCAGGTGGCTAGGGGCTATGGTATTGGACAGCTCTGCTCTCTATCTTGATCTGGGTGGTAGTTACACGGGTGTAGACATATGCAAAAATTTGTCTATCTGTATACTAAAGACTAGTGCGTTTCACTAGGTGTGAATTACACTTCAATTAAGAAAAATTATTTTAATCCTCTTTAGGGCTCTGCCCAAGTGCTGGCATTTTCCTGAGTCCACCCTGGGTTGGAATTAGCTACTTCCGTTGCAGTGTGCTCCTGTTACATTTATTGCAGTCTTGGGCTATAGCTGCTTGTTTCTGTGTATGTCTCACTCATTTTATTATAAGTGCCTTAAGGTGAAGATCATAGTTTGTTCATTTTTGAATTCCCCACAGGGCCACTGGCTACGTAGATGCTGAGTAAATAAGCATGGTTGAATTGAATCTCCGTTTGGTATAAACCCCTCTCCGGGCTGGTGGCAGGATAGCCTGATCATTTGATTCTGTTCTCAGTCCTATTCCAGATGTTGGCAAAGGAGAGGGACAGGAAGAGGAGGAGGAAGATGACATGGGGCCTCGTCTGCCAGTCACTCCAAAGAACTGCCTTCCTCGCCGGGGCATCAGCGTCCTGGAGAAGCTCGTCAAAACGTGCCCAGTGTGGCTGCAGCTGGGTCTGGGCCAGGCGGAGGCAGCCAGGATCCTGCACCGGGAGGCGGCCGGGGTGAGTCGGGGTCTCTCCACCTCGTGGCCAGGGGCGGGCAGCTCTGCAAGGAGCTACTCAACCTCCCTGGGAAGTAGCTGCCCTCTGGACAGCTGCCCATTTGCCCCTTTTTCTTATGTTTGCAGCTTTTCAACCAGGCTGTTTTTTCCAGAACTCCGGAGCCGGGGACCAGTGGGATGGCTGGTTTCTGCTTTGAGGAGCAGAGCTGGGAGTGTGTGGCTCGTGTGGGCTGTCCGAGCATTCGGGCACCTGAGAGGCAGGACTGAGCCTTGGAGAGCTCAGCCAGACATCTGGGGACTAGAGAGTATCAGAGCCAGAGGGACCTGAGAAATCATTTTACATCCCCTGATTTTACATGTGAAAATGAGGGGCTGTGTGATGGAATCAAAAGGTTTTTTGGAGTCAGGATCTGTGAGTTGGGAAATGGCTTAAATTTTCTGAACCTCACTTTTCTCATTAAAATGGAGCCATTGATAGTATTTTCCTCCCCGTAGTGTAAGCATTACCGAGGAAGCTAGATAGATAATGAAATATGAGTCAGAGCTCATCAAATGCCACCCACCAACCACCCATTTTCTCTTTTTTTTCCACCCATTTTCTCTCTTTTTTCCACCCATTTTCTCTTACATGCTACTTCCATTAAATTTTTAAAATTTTAATTTAAAAAGTGATACATATATGTATTTATTGTAAAAAAAATCAAGCTGGACAGAAGAGATAAAATAAGAAGTAAAGTGTCTGATAAAGGTCTTTCCCACCTCCTCTTTTTTTTTAAATTTTATTTATTAACTAAAAAAATTTTTTTTGTTGTTTTTGGTGTAAGGTAATTAGTTTTATATTTTCATTTATTTCTTTGAATGGAGGTGCTGGGGATTGAACCCAGGACCTCATGCATGCTAAACATGTACTCTACCACTGAGCTCTACCCTCCCTCCTTGCCCACCAACTCTTTTTCACCTGATCTACTTACCAGAAGTCTTTTTTTGTGTTTTGTTTTAATTGAGATGAAATTCACATAACATAAAATTAGCTATTTTTAAGTGCACAATTTTGTACATTCACAAGATTATACAACCACCACCTCTGTCTAATTCCAAAACATTTCATCATTCCAAGATAAAACCCCACATCCGTTAAGCAGTTACTCCCCATTTCTTCTTTTCCTGGCCACTGGCAAACAATCACCAGTCTGCTTCCAGAAGTCATTTCTGCTGGAAGTGTGTGGCATATCTGTTCATTATTTTTCCATGCAGACTTCCATGTCTGTAAGAGCTAGCATTCACCAAGAACTTACTGTGTTCCAGGCACTATCTAAGTTCTCCATGTGAATTAGCACAGTTTATCGTCACAGCAGCCCTCCAAGGTAGATGTTCCAATTATGCCCATTTTACAGAAGAGGTGACTGAGATACAAAGCTGACCTGCCAGGTGACACAGCAGACAAGTGCCCGAGCTAGCATTTGAACCGAGCTAGCATTTGAACCCAGGCAGTTGGGGAGCTTCCATGCTGTGTGGTACACGCACATTTTATGTGACACAAGTGGAATCACATCTTTTAGCAATTTTTGCTGTTCTCACCTTCAGTGTGGCGTGTCTTGCTACGCTGTGTCTGGGGAATAGTCCAAACTCCTAAACACAGGGGGCTCAAGTGGTTAGTGGACTCATCCACTTCGGACTAGATAAAATCCATCAAGTTGGCAATTGTACCTGAAAATTGGAATTACTAGAACTTATGGTGCCCCAGCAAAGTCCCACAGAGGCTCCTACCCCAGAGAGTAGGGACTGTAGAGGCCTGAAGGCCCAGGAGAACCCTGCTGAGGCTGAGGGAGACCTCCTCTGGGTACCGGGGCTGGAGTCCCGTGGGCCAGCCCAGCCCAACCTCAGCACCAGGATCAGCCTGGGAGAGGGTGCGAAGGAGGAAGCTAGGAGACCGTAGTCCTCAGGAGAGCAAGGCCTGTTGTTTCATTCCTCCCTACCTAAAGGCTTTCAGTTTTGTACTGATTGAGGGCTTCAGAGCAGATGATGAAACTACATAGAGAATAAAATCAGAGACTCACACCAGCAGGTGTTCCGGTCAGCAGTACCAGGCTGCAGCCCCAGCAGTCATCCACTCCCCTGTTAGGTTCTAGGGGACTCACTTCCCATCCTTCCCGGGAGGATGGAGCTGAAAAACAGGCCCAAGGGCAAGGCTGCGATGCAGACAGGTGGCCATTTTCCGGACCTTTCTTGGTCACCAGGAGAGGTGCGTCCAGACGTGCATGTAGAGGATGGTGGACCAGACAGCGAGGACCCATCCCGAGAGGGGGCAGGTGGGTGTCCAAGGCAGGCTGCGCCAGGTGTAAGTCGTGCCCACTTTGTCCAAGGGTTCAACCCTCTCTTCAAAAAGTTTAAGATAAGCCCAACTCAAAATAACAATCGTGGTTCCACGTGGCGAATGCTTCTTAATACCAGGCCCTGTACCAAGTATTGTATGAATGTCATCTTGTTTAATCCTTAAAATAATCCTGTGAGGCAGACTCTGTCATTATCCTCATTTTACAGATGAAACAGGCTAAGAGGCGTGCCCTGGCTTGGGCTTCCCCAGAAGCAGACCCCTAGATGAGGATTTAAATTCAAGTGGTTTATTTGGGTGTTGACCCCAGGGGGCACTGGTAGGGGAAATAAGACAAGGAAGGGAGGGCAGCTAATAAAAGCTGTGTGTCCATGAAAATTGCTCCTGGGGGCACGTGGAGCTGACGCCCGCTGGGGCACTTTGGGAGCCGGTGTAGAACACCCATCTGAAGTCATCCCGCCCAGAGGGGTGAGGGAGCTGGTATCATCCACCAGCTCCTGACAGCCTTTGGTTCAAAGCTATGGGGGATGAGGATTCATGTTTCAGGACCTCCTCTCTGCCCTAAACAAGACAGGATCTGGCTCTGACCAGAACAGCCCATGGGCAAAGAGATGCCAAGCTGGCTGTTGGAAGCAGGACTGGAGTCCCCTCAAAAGATATGGCGGCAAGGCGAGTGGGCGGGGCACCAGCAGCACCTGCTGCTGGAGTGAGGTCACCTGCCCAGGGTCACACAGCTAGTGAGTTTACAGGGCTGGGATTTGATCCCAGCCCTAACTAAGCCAAAGCACACCCCGCTGTAAGTACTAAAGGTTAGTAGCAGGAGAGAAAAAGAAGTAATTTTTTGAGGTCAGCCGATACCAGACAGATTTAGGTATGAGGCATGTTTATAAAGAGGGGTGAACTATGATCTTACCACTGTCCTCTCAGAGGGTCTGGCGAGGGCCCCATGCACAGATGTGAATGGTAAGGCAGAGGGTAGGGTTTCTAAGTGCTGTGTGAAAGGCAGGACAGTGAGTAGCCTGGAGGAGGGAGGGGGCATGTCCAGGTGGGGTGATCCAGGCATACTTCTTAGAGGAGGCGGATGGTGAGCTGGGCCATGCAGGATGGACAGGCAGGATTGGGATGGGGGAGCTAAGAGGGTCTTGGAGAGTCTGGGTGATGGAACAGCACAGGCTGAGCCCCAGGGGTGGGTGTGAGCTGGGCCGGGGGACATGAAGATGGAAGACAGCATGACTAGAGGCACGAGAGCAAACTGGAACCACGAGAGCAAACTGGAGTCACTGGAGGGCAGGACCACACTGCATTCATTGCCATGTGACACCGGCGTCTGGCTCAGGCCTGGGTTCAGAGCAAGTCTGGCTCTGCGTGTTCATGTGAACAAATGAATGAAGGACAGCAGGGAGGGTGGGGCTGGTTCTGGGGAGCTGGCCAAGCCGGGCCAGTTGCTCAGGGCCTCCCTGCAGTGAGAGGCAAAGGCCGCTAGGCTGTGTTTACTTTCCAGGTGAGCGCACGTCACACAAGGCTTTGAGCCTTAATCCCAGGCTCTGTGGCTGCAAGAGGCCCAGAAACCTCTTCAGAAGGTACAATCCAGGGGCAAAGTTTAAGAAACAGAAAGCTTCAGGCTGGGTCCTGAAGGGATACCTGTGTCCAGAGCCTTGAATCTGATCCTGGAAGTGAGACCATAGGCTACTGTTAAGACCGATGGACTGAAGGAGGTCAGCCAGGCCCTTCCCACTGTCACCCACTCACTGTCCCCTCCGGGCTGCAGGGGCTGGGGTAGCCCTGAGGACAGCAGAATTGGGGCAGATTCACCTTCTTCTCAGTTCTCTGCCCTCGTAGCCAGTATCCCACTCCTCTCCGTGAGCTTCTGTATTTTAAAGCAGAAGTAAAGCCCTAAAGCTCATGCTCTGATAAAAAAGATTGGCTAACTTTTACCCAGAGCGCTCTTTGCATGATCTTACTGATTCTCACAGTGACTTCTGTCTGGCTGATGTTATCAGTGTCCCCATTTCCCCATAAGGAAAGGAAGGCACAGAGAAGTTAACTCACTTCCCTGAGGTCACACAGCTAGTAAGAGCAGAGTCTGCATCGTGTGATCTTCAGGGATGCTGGGAAGGCCATTTGCCACATAGTATCACTCCCACAGTACTGGTGGTCTGAAATTCCACCAGTGCAATAGCTTCATCGTTTTTAAAGACATAGACACTGGGTAGCTCCCAGTCTGTGAGGGCTCAGAGGGTCTTCAGAGATCACCTGGACCTACCCCTCATGGCACCAAGGCAAAAGAGTGCTTCATGGTGCCTGGGGCATTGATCAGGAAACTGGAGATCCAGCCCCTTTGTCCCAAATATCTATATGACCTTGACCACATCCCACTCCGTCCACCACTCCCCGTCTCCTGCAACCTGCTTCTCTGATAAGGTGCTGGGAACATATTGGCCCCTTTTTGATGTGTGTATATCCAGAAGCAAGGTAATCAAAAGCCACCTTTATTCAATCTGTACCCAAACAGTGGGGTGTTGTTTTTTGCTTTTTTGTTCTTTAGTTTTATTTTAGACGTTTTCCATTTACAGAAAAGTTGCAAAGACAGTACAGAGAGTTCCCTCATATACTTCTCTCCCAGTCTCTCCGACTGTTAACATCTAACGTTTGTAGGGTACATTTGTCAC